ATTATTTTTTTACTGTGGCGATTATTTACAAAATGCGACGGAAATAAATTCTGTGTCTCCCCCTCCCCCAACAAAAAGCGAGAATAACATTCGTAATATTAGAATAAAAAAACATTACACGTTCAATTAAAATAAATTATATGGTTTTTTTTTTAGAAAACACAGCGCTTTTGTTATTTTAAATTAGTTACATGTGTGTTTATTATTATGAAAAGTATTTTGCAGAAAGGTATCAGCGCTAGAGAGTTTTGCAGCAGATAGCTCAAAAGAATTCCGCCACGCGGTCCATAACAAATATTATGTTGTGTTGTTAGAGTGAAACAGTGCCGTATTAAGCGTACGTGGGGCCCCAGGCCATTCAAATTTTTGGGGTCCTTCGATAAAAAAAATTTTCTCGTATATTTTCTACTTATTCAACTATAAAAGTATTTATGTATCTTTTCATTTAAGAAAGCATATTTAAAATAAAGAATAATAAATTAAATTTTACTTTAATTTGTTAAATTAGAACAGAAAAATTATCGTATTTTATTAATATATTATATTTGAATTTTTTTTTTTTTTTTAAAATCATTGTTTTTAATTTTTTGTAAATTTACTGTCAAAATTTTTTTTAAGGGGGCCCCTAATTATGGCGGGCCGCAGGCTGACCTAATGGGTAATGCAGCCCTGTACGAAGGAAATAATTTGTGCCCCCCTCAATGAAATGCGAGAATATCACCCATAATATTAGAATAAGAAATTATTACACGCTCAATTAAAAAAAAAATTAACTGTTTTTTTTTTTGTTTTTTTTGTGTGAAACTAGCGCTTTTGTCATTTTAATATAGAAACATATATGTTTGTTATTATTGAAAGTATCTTGCAGTAATATATTAGTGCTGGAGAGTTTTGTAGCAGATAACTCGAAAAAAAATTCCGCCACGGGGTCCATAACCAATATTATAGTGCGTCGTTGCAGTGAAAACTAAAATAGATTTTATTTTGACATGGGTATAAATTCTAAACTGCATGACTTCCCGAAACTCTTATCACAGGATAACGATAATGATTTCTTGTATTCTTTACAGTCAAAGATCAGGAATAACATTTTCTTTTTGTCTTTTTAAAATGAAAAATGTTGCAAGATTTTTATAAAAGTTGCTTTTTTTCTAGAGAATATCTGAAGAAAAAAAAAAGGTTAAGGTGCAGAAAATATTTCTTGCGATAGTCTTCCTACCAGGTGGGATTTTTCCCGATATTAAAGTGCACGTTATGAGAGGAAAAATACCCACTATTTTTATAGGTCAGCATTCTGAGGAATTTCTTTTTTATTTTTATTTTCTAGATTCATTCAGAAAAAAGAGAAAATAAAATAAATGTAGGAATCGAAATATAATGTGAAACGCCGGGTTAGGCATGATGAAATGCATCTTTTTTTACTTTGTAGCACGGCATGTTTTTTAGAAATCCTTTTCAACCAGTTATTTCCTTATTTAACTATTCTAGATAAATGTCACTCTTTGAAACTTTATATTATGTTTTTGTGTCTATGATCATTTAAGTAAGACAAGAAAAATTAAAAATCTTTTTCAAAGTATAAAATTTAATTTAACCATTTATATTTTTCAGATATGTGGTAATAAACTGTCGCAAAATCGTGAAATCGAAATATTCATTTAGAAATTCAGGTGAAACTAAACTTTATTTTTTATTCATTTTAACTTAAACTTTTATTTTTAAAAAAAAAAAGGTTGCTCGAAAACCCCTTGGTTTTCTTACTTTAGTTTTTTTTAAATTTTTTTTTTTTTACTTCAAATAAAAATATTTCTTTTTTAATAAAAGGATTATTTTGTTAATAAAATACACAATTATAATTTATAGTTAGGACATTTTATTAGGTAGCAAAACGAATGCCTATTTGGACTTGAAAACTAATCAATTGTACTTGGAAAAATAAATTTTAAACCTTAAAAATACGAAATATGTGTATGAATAAAAAGGTAGTAGTAGTAGTTAATTTACGTCTCACTAGAGCTGCACAATGGGCTATTGGCGACGGTCTGGGAAACATCCCTAATGATGATCCGAAGACAAGCCATCACAATTTTGATCCTCTGCAGAGGGGATGGCACCCCCGCTTCGGTAGCTCGACGACCTGCGCGCGAAGTCGAGCACTTTACGGTAGAACAGTTTAACGAGGACCATTGCCGCACACCCTCGGTCCCTACGCAGATTGATCCAAGTGGTCACCCACCCGCACACGGACCTCACCCAGTGATGCTTGACTTCGGTGATCTGCTGGGAACCGTGTCTAAGCGATCAGTCCACTGTGGGACATGAATAAGAAGGAAGAATTGAGAGGTACTTTTACACTGTCTTGTAACTAACATTAAGATTATTAAACATCAGTTTACCTGCGTATAAGACATGCTAACACAATTCAATCTGGAGGTACCTTTTGATAGACGAAAGTTGGCACAGTCGAATGCACTATCCCCACATTGGTGACCCGGGCGTGATTGGAACTCACAAAAATCATAAACACTCACTTCGATGCATGAACCACATTGAACAGATGACTTGTTCTCAGTGACTTGCTCAGCAACTTCTCAGTCTCATTTACTCACAACGGAATCTTGCACACACTCGGCTGCCAATGGCAGCACAGGAGAGACGACATACAACCGTGAACTCAATACAGCTCTCACCACAAACACTCAAAATCCGGTGAACTTAATACAGCTATCCCGGTATTTCGCAATTACAGCAACTTGTGGTTCATCGAATTCTATACCTGATAAAATTCTGATGGGGGAGTATTGTGGCGTAACTACCACTACAATTATTAAACTCCAATTCACTAGTATATAAGACATGCTAACTTGATTCAATCTTGTGGTATCTTTTGATTGTGCATTCGACCCTACAAACCTTCATCCATCTCCACAGCTTGCAAACCATTAGAGATAGTTCTAACATTCAGCACTCAAAAACATGCCAAAATTATTTGAAAATCAAACATATTGACGAGTTTTTTAAACCTTGAAAAGGTGGCCCAATAAAATACCGTGTCAAGATATCGCAAAAACATATATATATATATATATATATCATTAAAACTCGAGAGCTCTTAATATGTAAATTACTTAGCTAATCTGCAGATTAACTTAGGTTGTGGAAAAAAAAAGTGCGGAGTCAAGAGTTATATTACCGTCGTTGAACAGCCGACCCAAGTTTTCGGGTTTACGACTACTCATGTTCAACTCCATAGCCTTGTCATTTTGAATCCAATTCAGAAGACAAGGGAACACCTGGATCAAGTATTGGGAGAAATTTGCCTTCATGGAGGATATTTTGATGGAACTAACCTGAATTTGCGTTACATGGAAAGGAAAACCACGAAAACCTCCCACGGTTAGCCTGACGGCGAGGAGCCTTTAACCCACGTTCCGTCTCCCAATAAGGATATTTTACTTCAGCACTGTCGTCAGTGCAAGTTCAACCAATTCGTTTCAACCAGTCATCGCTATGATTCGAACCTGGCCAACACGACTCGGAATCGGGAGTTTTAATTTATGTAATGAGGGCATTTCAATATGGTTAAAATCCGAAAGTTTCAACTAGTTTGCTGATTGTATTTGTGGGCTTGATTCTTTGAATGCTGAAAAATAATTAAACGGCATTATGTTAATTTCTTTAAGTAGTAATACTTAAATATAGTATAGTAATACTTAAAACCGTTTGATTCTATGTTTTGTATGGTTATTAATAATTGATTCTATCATCTTTTAGATAAGGAAAAGTCCCGCTGTTGGCTGATCGTAAATACACGGTTCCCAGTAGAACAACAAAGTTAAGCATCACTGGCTGCGGTTAGTAAGCGGGTGGGTGACCACTTTCATCTGCATGCGCAGGGATCGAGGGTACACGTCATCGGTCCTCGCTATACTGGTCTATTGTAAAGTGCTCGACATCGCGCAGGTCGTCGGGCTACCGAAGCAGGGGAGCGATCCCCCTGCAGATGATCAAAATTGCGATGGCATGTCTTCGGATCATCGGATTTATTATGTTGTATTAATATTATATATTTTATATTTAATTTTTAGCTCATGCAATTTAAAAAATAGTGTAAGTATTTTTTTTATTTAATTTCTTACGTTACTAGTGTACCACTTTCACTCCTATTGAAATATGATTAGACGTGGTTTGAATTTGTGTTTTTAACTGGAAAAACTTTAATTTGTTTTTAAGTGTAATTATGTTTTTACGTATTTCTAGTTATGTTCTATTTTTTTTACGTAGCTTAATAAACTTTTTGTGCATTTTCCTCTAGAAGGATATAGACTCGTATCCCACCCTATCGAGCTATAGACACGTATTATATTTCAATAAATTCAATGCGAGATACGGCATTGAAATAGTAGTTTTTTGATAACGTCTGAAATAGTCTTCTTTATTCGCCTGAAATAATAGTATTTTAATATCTTCTGAAATAGTACTTTCTTGATAACGTCTGAAATAGTCTTTTTTTTCTTTATTCGTCGAAATAATAGTATTTTAATATCGTCTGAAATAGCAGTTTCTTGATAACGTCTGAAATAAAGTCTTCTTTTTTCTTGATTCTCCCGAAATCATAGCATTTTCATATCGTCTGAAATAAAATCTTCTTTTTTTCTTTATTCGCCGAAATAATAGTATTTTCATATCGTCTGAAATAGCAGTTTCTTGATAACGTCTGAAATAAAGTCTTCTTTTTTTCTTGATTCGCCGAAATAATAGTATTTTAATATCGTCGGAAATAGTAGTTTCTGAATAGCGTCCGAAATAAAGTTTTTTTTTTATTCTCCTGAAATAATATTATATTAATATCGTCTGAAACAATAGTTTTTTAATAACGTCTGAAATAACAGACTTTTAATTTCGTCGTAAATAATAATCTTTTTACGGTCTTCATTTTATTTTATTTACTGAACGAAATGTTTCGTCAGGCCACCAAAATGTCATAGGTGGTTTGCTACTGGGCCGCGGGCAACGCATTGGAAGACCCATAATCCAAAAAGCAATGACGGAAAAGGTAGAGAGAAAGTTTGTTGTGTAAGGGAGAGGGCGCGATCGGCAGGCGATCGGAATATACAGGGAGATCGTTTGCCGGCGGAGAGTCAGCTAGTTGTCGGCCGAAGACTCACCTTCGTGGTTGGGGAGTCGTAGTGTGAAAAAGGAAGGAATAATGGTCGGCCGGCGCGGGATATTTTTCGATCCGGTCATGTTCTATTCTTCTCTTTTATTCTTCTTATTCTTGGTGCTCTTTTTCAAAAGTAAGTCCTTTTTAACACTTTTTTTTTAGTGTTCAATTCAACGACAGTACATTTAGGACGAGGGTTACTTGCACATTAATTATACTTTTTCCACCCCCTCCCCAACAGGTGTTTCATAGGAATAATAACATCCAAATGCGGATAAAACTATTTCGAAAATTTTAGAAATAGTTCAATCCTTGTTTCTTAAGGCACTTTCTTCTTTTCTTTTAATTGACTTTTTTTAATGTGTAGTTGAAATACAAATGCAATTCAGTGCCTTCAATTTTTCATACAGTTAAATTTTTATGTTTCAAATGCGATAACTTTTCATAAAAATTTCAAACCTAAATTTTCCTAACACTGCACTTTTCATAGTTTAGCGCAATATGTAAGGGAAAATTTATTGAAAAGTTTTGAAGGAGCTGAATAATATTTAAAGTTTATTTAAAAAAAAAAAATTAAAAAAAAAAAAAAATTGGCGTATAATTTAGAATATATAACTTAGAGTTTATAATATAATTAAATTCCCGCTTTAAATATATTTAGTTTTAAAAAAAAATTAAATTTTTAATTTTCAATTATTATATATATATTTTTTAATTTTGAATGTTAATTAGTTTTTTTTTAATTAGTTTTTTCAAGCTTTTGCGCAAAGTTTGAGAATTATTTACAAATTTAAAGCGAATGAATTCGTTTAAAATTTTTCTTTAAAAACATACTGACGCAGAAAATAGAAGTGTGACAAAACTTAATTACTTTAATTTTTCACAAATCAACACAATTTTAAATAAAACAAGACTACCTTAAATTTCAAAAGCAAATTATTTTAAATTTTAATTCTGTTTTTTTAAATAACTTCAAATTTTACGCTTACGTCGTAAAAGTTTCAGGAAAACTGCTGGAATTTTTAAAGAAGCTGAAGATGCTCAAATTGTAAATATTTATATTTATATAACAATATTTCCATTTTACATATTATCATAATTGTTTTTGGAAAATTCTGACACTTAACTGTTTCAGGAAAATAAATCCATCGTCTTTTTTTTTTTTCAGTTTTCCGACTTAAATTAAAATGGATAGTAGAATAAAGTCTTCTTTTTTTCTTTTATTTGCCTGAAATAATAGTATATTTTAATATCATCTGAAATAGCCTTTTTTTTTCTTTATTGGCCTGAAATAATAGTATTTCAATCTTGTCTGTAATAGTAGTTTCTTGATAACGTCTGAAATAAAGTCTTTTCTTTCTTTATTCACCGGAAATAATAGGATTTTAATATCGTCTGAAATAGTAGTTTCTTGATAACGTCTGAAATTGTCTTTCTTTTCTTCTTTATTTTCCCAAAATAACAGTATTTTAATATTGTCTGAAATGGTAGTAATACAAAATAATAATATTAGTTTTTACATTTATATTTGTTTTTGATTTAGAAGAATTATTTTTGTACAGAAAAACCAAGAAAAAATTTGGATATTTTCTCACTAGTTGCAGCCTTTTCTTAATTTCCTTTATTACAGAAAAAGGTTGCAAAAATTGTGCATCAGGTTCCATAACTTAAAAGGAAAAAAAATTAATTGTGTGTGTGTTAAAATTACATACATGATTGAAATAAAATATAAGTACGGATATACTTTTAAAAAATTTATTTTATGGAATTTCAAAAGTGTAGTTATCATATTTTAACATGAATGCTACAAAAAAGAGTTCGAATATTTACTATTTTCGTTTGCTTTCACCATTTTTTACCATACCTTTTTCTAAGGTTAATTGCATCCCGGTTTATTCGAAACGCCTTCAAGTTTTCAATCTTTATATTAAGTTCGCTTTTTTGTGCCTGACTTTTCGAAAGTGTTACTGTTTTTTCTCCGCTTAAATATTAACTTACTACCCAGAATATGTATGCGTTTTTTATTTCCTTTTTTGATAAAAATTCTGAAAATACAGATTAAGAGTGGTATTTTATTTTATTTAATAACCGTCTTTGAACATCCGACTCAAATGTGAGTTTAAGGCTACCGATGTTCAACTCCGTAGCCTCGTAATTTTGGACCGAATCCAGAAAACCGGGGAACTCCTGGATCAAGTATTGAGAGAAATTTGCCTTCTTCGAGAAACTAACCAGCTTTTACGCAAAGTAGCACAAGTAGTATTACAAGTAGAGAAAAACCACGAAAATCTCCCACGGTTACTATGACGGCATAGAGTCTCTAACCCATGATCCGTCTACCACTGAGGATATTTTTACCTCAGCACTGTGATCGGCTCAAGCCGGCTGCTAAATTTTGCATCGATCAGCTATCGCTGGGATTCGAACCCGAGTTACCTTATTGGAGCGCTCTATCTCCTGACCCAGCCCTTCAGGGGAGGCCCTTTACTGAACACCCTGTCTAATGATTGTAAATGAACTAGTATAAAGGTAAAACAAATTTACTTTTTTGTACTTTATAAAACATGACTCGCCGTGTTAAAATATTTTCTTTTTTACCATTACTAACTTAACCATTTTTATCTCTTATTTGTTACACATGTCGTGTAATTCATATTATTATATTTATCACAATAAAAGTTTTAAAAGTTCATCTTACACTTCAGACCATCGCAAAAAAACCTTTTACAAGCTCCATATATGCAAGATTTACCTATACAAGAAAAACGTAATCTAAAAATATGCTTGTTAGCAAAAATGTCACCCTGCAAATGTGGCCCTGCAAACTTGCTGGGGCCATTCCGTTGTCAGTGGTAAAACCAAAAGCCGTCAGTGCGCCGAGGGCCCGTAATAGAAAATAAAATAAGACAATAATACCTCAAAAATTCTAAGATTGAAGCAAAAATGAAACACAATGACATAAATTAAAATTACACTAAGGAAAAAGAAAACTAAGACTGACGCGTCTACATATGAAGAGGAAGTTACAGTTAGACAAACCAAAATTATGTAAATTGTCAAATTCTTAAAGTAAATTCAAAAGTGCTGATCTCTTTCGAAAAACTTGAAAAAGGCAAAATTCCAGAAAATAAAGTGTTGCCCTCCATATTAGTAAGTTACAGAAAATTCTATTTCATTATTGACCGAAATAATTGAACTTCTTTAGGATAGATTGAATTGAAAAATTATAAATCCAAAAGTAATTCTGAAATTCTTATTAGATGAAAGAATATCCGTTTAATTATTACAAATAGTTTTAAACTTAAGAATATGATTCATCAAAATATTTTTAAAAACTTTAAGATATAAATTTATTGTTTTCATAAATTTTGAAATATATTGTTTCTAGATTAAATGTTGTTCTTAATTTATGTTTAATTCAATTCTAATCTATTCTCTATATACTTTGAAAAGATTTATCATAATCACAATCTTCCAAAAGATTTGACAATTGTAATTATATTCTATTAATTTCGCTTGACTTTACATTACTAAATTTTGAAATATATTGTTTCTAGATTAAATGTTGTTCTTAATTTATGTTTAATTTTATTCTAATCTATTCTGTTCTGTATATACTTTGAAAAGATTTATCATAATCGCAATCTTTCAAAAGATTTGAAAATTGTAATAATATTCTATTAATTTCGTTTGACTTTACTTGAGTTAATAGTAACAATCTTTAACGATCTTACGCAAACAATAGGTTTTATATACTCATACAGAATATCAATCCAACCATACAGAATAACCCTCTGCTTAACAAACAAAGAGAAACCCCCCCAAAGAGAAACCCAAAGGAATTTAATAGACAAAGTCCCAATTTAAAGGAATTATTATAACTATCCAAAGTAATTCTGAAATTCTTATTAGCTGAAAGAAAATCCATTTAATTATTACAAATAAATTTAAACTTAAAAATATGATTCATCAAAATATTTTTTAAATATAAATTGCTTTTATAAATTTTGAAATATAGTGTTTTCAGATTAAATGTTGTTCTTAATTTATGTTTAATTCTATTCTAATCCATTCTATTCTATATATACTTTGAAAAGATTTATCATAATCGCAATCTTTCAAAAGATTTGACAATTGTAATTATATTCTATTAATTTCGTTTGACTTTACTTGAGTTAATAGTAACACTCTTTAACGATGTTACGTAAACACAACGAAAGACAATAGGTGGTTTTATATACTCATACAGAATCCGATATTATGAAGACTACGATATTATGCAGACTGATTTTACCTCCACTTACCAAACAAAGAGAAACATAAGATTAACCTTTTCTCTACTCTCACCTTTTCCTTATTTCTTTTTTCAATTCGTACTATTAGTTTACACTCGGCCTATATCTTGCTCACATTTTCATTCGTTAATAAAGTAATTTTTAGTGTTAGTCATTGTTTTAAATTTTATTATAAGCGATTCAGTTTTTCACATATTTTAAAAATATCATCAGGGATAATTTCTAACTTATAGCTCTATTTGAACAAAAAAATAGTTTATTGAGCACATTTAAATATTTAACTATTTTATATTTACGGTGTCAAATAAATTCCATAAAGAACATGACGTGGTATCACGTGTGGTCCACGTCACCCAATTTATACTTTTATAATTGTCTGATACCACGTGTGCCTTTTTTTTCAATTCCTACTATTAGTTCACAATCTCCCTACATATATTTATACATATTATTCATATTTATATGTAGCAGTTTTTCACTGTTATCAGTGCATTTTTATTGGACGGAAAATGAGATGGTAGGATCCAGTTTTCCATTCATTTTCACATTGATTTAGTGGTCATAAGCCATAAAGTTATTCCTTTCCTATAAATATTTTTGCATCCCTAATGTAAGGGACTGTACTGTTTTTATTAAGCTTCTGTTTGGTTTGTTTTCTGCTTGTTTAAAAGTTTTAAGAGTTTAAAAGTTTTCATAACAATTGTTGTTAGAATAACGTAATTCTACGTTACATTTTAGGATAAAGTTTTAAAGATTAAAAGTAAAAGTTTAAAAGCTTTCGTAACTATTTTTGTTAGAACAACGTAATTCTACGAGACATTTTAGGAAAAAGTTTATA